AGGCAGAGTTTCAGATTGGGAGCAGGTTATTTGAAACAGCCAAAACATTGAAAGGAATGTCTCCAGTGTGAAAACGTGGCAGTCACCAGACCAGGAGGACACTGTTTATAGCAGGCGAGCCAAACAAGAGGTTTTGCTGCTTACACTCAGCCAGAAATGGATGAATTGAGAAAGTCACATTTTTCTACCTCTCTGTGCATGTGTCCAAAAAAAATTCACAAATGATAGCTTATGTGTTATAATTAAACTTTAGCAAATAGAAGATATAAAAAAAATTGCAAAATCCATGAATACTGAAAAAGTCACAGCAGCTTTGTTTTTCGTCTGCGCTGTTCTCAGCCTCTGGGCCAGTGAGTTGGAGATCTCCTGCCCAATGATATTAACCTTTGCTGAGATTTACTGGAGACATGCTATAGGCTAAAGGTCTACTCCTGATATTTGCAAAACCCTTAGCTGGGACTCCTAAGTTATCCTGGCATGTCTGGGAGACTCCTGGAGGCAGGAGCCACTGAGAAAACCAGGAACTGGCTTGGTATCTTTCTTTTCCTTTTCCTGTGATTGTGACAATGATAACTGGTAAAAGCAACCCATGCAAAGGGCTTATTCTGATTCTTTTATTACATTATTTGTGTGTGTGTGTGTGTGTGTGTGTGTATGAGAGAGAGACAGAGAGAGAGAAAACAATGGACAACTTGACGGTGTCATTCCTTTTCTTCCTCTGAATGGGTCCTGTTGGAATTCAGACTCAGGACAAGCAGATCAAGCCTCCAGGCTCTCCCAGCATCCTTCAGTTCCTACCTGAACTTTGCAGCCCAGGGGCTGGGCTTCCTCTCACGTAGAGGCTCTTCACGATATAATCCAGACATTTTTTTTTTTTTTGCATGCTCTTTCTTCCTCCCCCTCCCCCTTCTCTGTCTTTCTGTCTGTGTGGTGACTTCCCTGGCCCCTTTCTTTGACACCCGTGAATCCACCAGAAAGCTGTCTCCAATAAACATGCCAAATATACTTTAATTTGGTGTGGCTCATTTCATCAACAGAGGATACCTATTAGAGCCTAGGATGGAACTTGACTCATCAGCCTTGTCGGTAGGTGTCCTTATCTGTCTCAAGACATCTTTCTAGCCCAAGGAAAGGTTTGTTTCAGCTTCAGTCTGATGGTAGGATCCATCATGGTGGCAAGGCATACAGCAAGAGTGGGAAGCAGCCCGTTGCATCACATACAACCAGGAAAGAGAGAGAGCTAAATGCTGGTGCTCAGTTACTTTCCTGCTCTGTAGTCTGGAACTTCAGAGGGACACCATGAGATGGTGGCACCCACATTTGGTCCAGGTCTTCCCTCCTTAGGTAAATGGACAAGGCCAGAGGGATGGCGCCTAGGCAGTTTCAACTCTATACAAATTGACAGGCAAGGTTAGCCACCAAAGTTGTTGGGTTTTTTTTATTCTTAAGTCTCCCCAATAAGCAACTCAAACTCTTACTTTTAAAAAAATGTCTATTTTTTGTTTGTGTGTGTTTGTATGTATGAGTCTGCGTGAGTATATGCTCATCCTGTGCATAAAGGAGCCCAGGGAGGCCGGAAGAGGGCATCGGATTCCTTGGAACAGGAATCAGAAATGGTTGTGAGCTGCCATGTGGGCACTGAACTCTTGTCTCCTTCAAGAGAAGTAGGTGATCTTAACAGCTGAACCATCTCTATAGCCCCCAAGTAGTGAAGTTTCAAACCTAAATTATTTAATATAACTAAATATTGAAACCTTAAATTTTTTTATCAGAATTAAAAGACTTCGAATCTACTGTGTCTTCGGTTTCCTAGGCATCTAGTTTTGTTGTTGTTTTGCTTTGTTTAGTTTTTAGTGAAGGCATCACAGTTTCTGTAACTACCACACAGACTCAAAGGCAGTATGAACTGCTGCACAGGAAAGAATGGCTCAGCCTTCTTGTCCAGTTTTTGTCAGTGTTTTGAGTGAAACACTAGATCTGTTGTGAAATGGATGCTTTTTTACTCTTGGGAAAGAATGCTTTATTATTCAAGCCTGCCCGCCATCATGAGGATCTGATACCCCATTCTTCAGAGTTGTGTGTGTGTGTGTGTGTGTGTGTGTGTGTGAGAGAGAGAGAGAGAGAGAGAGAGAGAGACAGAGACAGACAGACAGACAGATAGACAGACAGAGAGAGACAGAGAAAGAGAGAACATCAGGACACAGCCACAGGTCCTCTTTGAAGGGTCCTTGGAGTGGGCACAAAACACACCCAGACACCAAATTCTCAGCACAAAGGAGATTTGTTAGCCCCTGAAGGAGCAAGAGGGGTGGGGAAGAGGGGACCTGCCTCTGGATCTGACAAAGACAGCAGCTGGAATTTCTGCAGGAGTGATTTTTAAGGAGAAAGGGGTGAAGTCTGTATTAGGATAAGTTGGTAAGTCCTGATTGGACATGTTAGCCAGTGTAGTTAAATAATGAATTTTGATTGCTGGATTTTTGATAGCTGGACATTGGGGGTTTTAGCCAGGCATAAGGAAGTGGACAAATAAGGGAATAGACTTTTTTTTTTTCTATTTCTGGGAATGTAATCTAACATTTAAGCAAGGGAGAGGGAAGGGAAAAGAACAAAACCTATCAGTGCCATGTTTGCAGTGCTTGGGCCTGTTAGCCCTTCACTCTTACCATGGGCAGAACTGTCACTTGCTCTTTTGTGGAAACAGATGGTGACATATAGAGAAATTCCCTGAGGCCAGAAAGGAGAGCTCAGCACAGGAGATGTCACCAGTCGGTGAAGAGCCAGCAGAGTACTGGGTCATGGTTGTTCAAGGGCCAGAGGAGGAGCCTGGGTCTGAGGCAGACACAGAGCCTGGGGTGAGCAGAGGGAAGTGCTCTGAGCACTGTGCTGTCTGCTCTTCACACTTAGCCTCACAATGAACCTCACACATCTGTTTTGTTTTGTTTTTCTTCCAGAGGACCAGGAAGCAGACTAGAGCTCTGGGTGGTTAAATGGCTCCCATCAGATGTGAGGAAGAGAGCTAGCGGGCCTCTCAGCACGTGAGGATAGGCAAAAAGGTAACGAGGCAAAAAGGTAACGTGGCGAATAGGCCCTCACAGTTTTCTAAAATTTAGAAAGGAGGGCAACAGAGAGATAAGAAAAACAGGACACATGAGTCATGAGAAAAAAATGTAATGCTATTTTTTTTTTCTAGTTTCAACTCTGTCATAGTTTTTTCATCCTACAATGGTTATGGGGATTCAACTCTCTGGGTATGAAAGTACCAAGAACCATTTTTGCAGCACAAAAGAATCCAGCCTCTATTCTTCTTTGAGGCAATGACTGGATGAGGGTATCTTTTTAATCCCACTGACCACTGGTGCTAGAAGTTAGACTCCACTGGTCACTGAACACGTTTGTTGTGTTGACACACTTCTAAAAAGGTAGTTTTGGGGTTTTTGTTTGCTATCTATATATCTATCTATCTATCTATCTATCTATCTATCTATCTATCTATCTATCTATCTTTGAGACAGGGTTTCACTGTGCAGCCCTGGCCATCCTGGAACTCACTTTGTAGGCCAGGCTAGCCTCAAACTTGGAGATCTCCTTGCTTCTGTCTCCTGAGTGCTGGGATGTGTGAACCGTGTAACAGCTGTCTCAAAAAAGTATTTTAAAAAGATATTTATTCTGTGGGGTGAGGGATTTTGTAACTAGTTTCTTTCTTTCTTTCTTTCTTTCTTTCTTTCTTTCTTTCTTTCTTTTTTTCTTTTTTTCTTTTGCCTAAAACTGTATCAAATTATTCTACTATAGGGCTGGAGAGATGGCTCTATGGTTAAGATCATATCCTGCTCTTCCAGAAGACCTGGATTCAGTTCCCAGCAAACACAGATAGTGGTTCATTGTCTGCAGCTCCAGTTCCAGGCGATCCAACCCCCTTTCCTAGATATGCTCACAGCCAACACACCCACACACATAAAAATGTTAAAGATACATTTTAAGTAAAAATATTCTATTATAATGTAAAAATTGCATTGCTTTACATAAAATGAAATACAGCTTTAGGACCTAAGCTATCTGGTCAAACATACTTTCTGACAAAAGCCTGAACAGGCACAGAACAGGCACCAGAAATTATCTAGCTCCCCAGTTTTCCCAACTCCTGCCTTCTCTGGCACCTGCCAACCACATTTTTTATTTGTAAGTGACTCTTTGACGTGGAAACTTCAGGCCCTGCTTGGTAGTGCCATCCTTTAATCCTTGTTACTTAGGCTGAGGCAAGAGGGTCAGAGGCTGAAGCCCAGCCCCGGGTAAAGACCGAGTTCAAAGCCAACAAAGTAACTGAAGGAGACACGTCAAAAGAAAAAGAGGCTGAGAGTACAGCTCAGAGCTAGAGCGTTTTGCCTAGCATGCAGGAGGCCCCCGGTTCAGTTCCTGACCTTGTAAAATTCAATAAGGGCCTGGAGAGGTGGGTCAGTGCTTGAGAGTACAACTACTCTTACAAAGGACCGGAGTTCTATCCCAAGCACCAGATTCTAGGGGATCTAACGTCCTCTTCTGGCCTGACATACATGCAGGCAAATACTCATACACATTAAAAAAAAAAAAAATTCTTTAATATCTCAAAAGAAGAAGAAGAAAAAAAAAGTCTACCTCTCGCCATGAATTGAAAACGTACAGAAAGCAAGATAAATAACTGCAAAAAACCAACCAAACAACAACAGAAAGCCTACAAGAAAATCAAGGAAAGACAATACGTTCTTGTTTAGATAGTGGCATCTCGCGTGAAATACCGGAAAGGAAGAGAGTGCCACGGCACACCATCCAGGACCTGAAAGAAAAGAGAATAAAAGCTCTTCTGCTCAGCGGGCACCCAAGTTTAGGATTTGGGAAGAGCCTCCGAGGGCGGGGCATGAAGGCCGGGCAGGAGTCCAGGACGCCCATTGGGCCTCCCACTGGCTTATTTGCATGGTCCGAGCGGGGCGGGGCCTCGGCTGACGTCACCCGAGGACGGGCTCCGGCGGTTCCCAGGATCAGAGCCTCAAAAACCGGGAACCGAGCAGAGCCGCAGCACCGCCCGGAGCGGAGCGCCGTGCGCCATGTACGACCCAGAGCGCCGCTGGAGCCTGTCCTTTGCAGGCTGCGGCTTTCTGGGCTTCTACCACATCGGGGCGACGCTGTGTCTGAGCGAGCGCGCCCCGCACCTCCTCCGCGATGCGCGCACTTTCTTCGGCTGCTCGTCCGGTGCACTGCACGCGGTCGCCTTCTTGTGCAGCCTCCCTCTCGGTGCGTCCACGGCCATTACCCAGGCCCCCCGTCCGGGGAGGAGTGCTCCATCTGGGGAATCGGTAACACTTTCCGGGGTGCCCGAAAGAACCTGCCCGGATAGCTCTCAACCTTCCGGGTGCCGCGGAGACCTCCGCTGGAGACCCGAGGCCTGTCACCTGGCGTGGGATTTCTTAGGGCGGGCGGGAGCGCTCTACAACGGAGACCCTTGAGCATCTTATTCCCGCCCGCTCCGGCGCCCTGGTTTGAAATGGTCCCTCCCTTCCGGTCATCCTGCCAACTGGGTCATCCCAAAGCATCAGCCGGGAGCAATGCAGGTTCTCAGGGTTTCTGGCCCCCGAGCCGCGGAAGGTTTGTCTTGTGTGGCTCTGGCAGGTCTCCCGTGGCAGGTGCCGCCAGGAGGGGCAGAAGGTACCCAGACTTGAACACCCTCGGTGAAGTCTAATGAAGCCTCTGGGGGCGGGGTGCGTGGGTTAGGAAAGTATTTGGAACACTTCCTAGAGACTGGAATGGGTTCCCAGACCTGTTTAGTTCCACGCTTTCCCATCTTCATTCGCCTGGGCCAGCCGCCCTTCCCAGATCGATGTCACTGGCAGTGACATTCTGGGCATTTGAATCTTGGCCTAATTAAACATTTGCGTATGCATCCGTGAGCAAGAGGACGCGAGTTTAACTTCTCCCGCTCCCTAAACTACTAGAACGCGGTACTCTTCCCTGTGTCAGAGCTGGATGCTTTTGAGATTGTGGGCAGGGCTTGGCTAGGTGCCCACGGGGGAGCGGCTGACTCCCAGAGGTCCTCAGGCTGCATGGGCCTACGAGGGCGGGGCATGATAACTCCCCTCATCAACTCTCATTGATCTTGGCCTCTTTTAACACTTTACTCTTTGCTCTACTGGCCACAGCCAGTAGGGAGTGACTTTGGCAAGCGCGGGGAAGCCCCTGCTGATGAGGCGAGCTCTGCGATTGGATAGGATCTGTGAGCAGACCCTGAGCTGACTAGAGATTTACGGATTAGAAGACAGGCAAAACTGGCTGCGAGGCTGCCGGTCTGTCTTCCCCTGTGAGGGAGGGAGACGGGAGCAAAGGGCAGAGAGAGTGACCTCTAGGAAAACTAGACCAGCTCAATGGCCATTGCACACCCTGAGCTTCAGCACAAAAGGCAGTTCTTACTTGCAGGGCTCTGAGCCCCAATATGGATAGACGATTAGTGGGACAAGGGTTAAATGCATTGACCCCAGGAGTCTGAAGTACACCTGCTTTCATATACAGCGGTGGTTCTGAACCTGTGGGGCATGCCCTCCTTGGGGGTGGGGTCTAACCACCCTTTCACAGGAGTCAAGACCCTATGACAGGAGTCGCCTAAGACCATCCGAAAACAAATATTTATATTATTCATAACAGCCAAATTACAGTTATGAAGTAGCAATGAAAATAATGTTATGGCCACAACATGAGGAACTGTATTGAAGGGTCATAACATCAGGAAGGTTGAGAACCGCTGATATAAAGGATGTTTGTGACTGCACAAAAGACAACCTGGGGTTGTCCTGTCAGGTCACAGAGAAGGCAGAACTATAGCTTATCTCTGGTGGGAGCTGCTAAGGTGCATTGTCCTGGGGCTTGTGACAGACCTGGACTGTTGGGGCATCTGAGTGTCTGGCCAGACTTGGCAGAGGAGCTAGGTGGAATCTGCCAGCAGTGTGTAAATTCACCCTCAAGCCAGGCTCAGCAATGGGGAAGGGTTTGCTGGAAGTCAGGGTTATTGTTGGCTCAGGACAAGCTGGGATGTGTCTGTCCTTGTGGAGCCAGGATTGTGTTGTTTAAGGCTGTAAGAGGTGGTTGTGAGTGCCAGGGCAGAGTGGTTTGGCCAAAGGGGGCTAGTCTGGGGAGTGAGGGCAGATGTATATGAATATGCCATGTGCCCACTGTGCAATCTGGGAATTTTGGGGTTAGAGGCTTATATGGAGATTAGCCACTTACAAAGCCTTTTCTGGGTTGAGTATTTTATTGATGTTATATTACTCAACCCTTTCTGTCTCCAAAAGTAAAGAGTAAATTGTACTCTCCTTGAAAAACGCAGTTTAGCGGCTGGAAAAACTGGCTCAGTGGTTAAGATCGCTTACTGCTCCTGCAGGAAGTGTTCCCAGCACCCTCTTGGCTGGTACAACCACCTGTAATTCCAGGTCCTGGGAATGTGATGCTCTCTTCTGCCCTCTATGCACACATGTGGTGCCCATAAGCACATGGGCACACGTGCCTACACACACACACACACACACACACACACACACACAGAGGCATATAAATAATTTTTAATTTTTAAAATTTTTTTTCTTTAGTTTCTTGAGACAGGGGTTCTCAGTGTAGCCTTGTCAGTTCTGGACTCACTTTGTAGACCAGGCTGGCCTCAGACTCACAGAGATCCACCTGCCTTTGCCTCCAAGAATGCTGAGATTACAGACATACACACTGCCTGGCTTAAAAAAAAATTCTTTTAAGGCAATCTGAGGTGCAGACAGGTGACAGAATGCTTTCCTGAGTAAGGGGTGGAGCTGAGCTTTACATTTAGGTCCAAGCTTGCATTATTTCTTCTGTACCCTCTAACGCTGAGTCCATTTATGCCAAAGCCAGAGTGCTGATGTGTTGGTGGCTTATGACTTCATGGACATGCAAGTGAGAGTTCTCACATACACGGGACACTAGAAGGCCTAGCCATCCAAGAAATACACACCTCACGCCATACAGGCCATTTTATATTTCTTAGTTGCTCCATTGGAATAAGTCAGACAAGGGTAAAATTGATTTTTTTTTGAGCCATACCCAGAATATTAGCACTTCGTAATGACTGTAAACCACTGTTAATGAGATAATGTCACCTAGTAAAACTTTGAAATATGGGGTGTCACCTATAGCCACCTTGAATGTGCCCAGTCATGACCAAAATACAGGGAGCGTTTTTATGGTGTCTTAAGTGGGAACCAGCCACAGTTCCAAAGTTCTGTGTGGTTTTTGGTCTCCAGTGTGGTACCCTCTCTCTGTGTGTTTGTCCTCTGTCCCCAGACCAGATAGTGGAGATCCTCATGGACCTCGTGCGGAAAGCCAGGAGCCGCAACATCAGCACCCTCCATCCATTCTTCAACATTAACAAGTGCGTCAGAGATGGGCTCCAGGAGACCCTCCCAGACAATGTCCACCAGATCATTTCCGGCAGGGTTTGCATCTCGCTCACCAGGGTGTCGGATGGAGAGAATGTTCTGGTGTCTGATTTCCACTCCAAAGATGAAGTGGTGGATGTAAGTACTCTGCCTGTCTGGGTGTTGTCAGGTGAAAATTCGGTACTGGGCTATTGTTGGCTCACTGGATGGGGCCCCTGTGAATGCTGCACACCCAGGTGACTTGGTCTGTGGTGCCCGGAAGCCCTACTATGCCAGCACTCTTTAATTCTCTTAATTTTTCCGGTGCCGGCATGGAAGATAGGGCCTTGGTCACACCAGGCCCTGCTTTACCGGGCAGCCGAACCCTAACCCAGGTTTTTCTTCCTCCTTTGAGACTCAGAGAACTGGTCCTGGGTGTGCCCCACACCCCAACCTCTGCATGGTATGCAGAAAGGTTGTCTTTCAGAATGAAGCTTCTCTAGGGTGGGGCCATTCTTATTTGCCTCTAGTCTCTGGCATAGAGAAGATAATTTTTGTCATATCAAAATACTATATTTGGCCTTTTTATTATACACATACACAAATATGCTTTTTATAGTTCTTAAGTGAATAACTGCATTTGACTGAATGTGCGTCTCTATGAGACTGCACAAGCGTCCAGCCCTGTGTGCAACCTGGCTTTCCATTTGAATTTCTAGTGGCTTCTCAACTGCCAATACCTATCTATCTGCTCTCAGCTGACAGTGTGCAGTCCAGAACAGTGATTCTCAAAGTATGGTCTAGGGGACCACTGTGTCCTCACAGCCTCTAACTGGCTGCAGGAGAACCCTGAGGAAGAGCCCAGGTCTGTGCTGCCTCTAGCCCCAGGGTGAGATGCATCATTCTAGCCCCTTATGCCATGGAGTCAACAGTGTCAGCCTGGGGCGCAGGGACAGAAGGTTGAAGTGTACAGATAGTACAGTTAAGGAGCTGGCGTTGCTGCTAAGACCCCAGGGCCTCAAATACAAGTGTGAGTATCATTCATTCACCCAGATGTTAAAAAAAAAAAAAAACTTACTGTCACTGGGGAGGCAGAGGCAGGCAGATCTCTGTGAGTTCAAGACTAGCCTGGTCTACAGAGCGAGTACCAGGACAGCCAGGGCTACACAGAGAAACTCTGTCTTGGAAAAATCAAACTAATCGACCAACCAACCAATCCATCAAACAAACAAACAAAAAAAATCTTACTGTGTTCAAAGAGCATTTCACTTGTGCTACCCGCTTGGAGAAGAACAGAAGGGCACAGAGAAGGCACTGTGACTGCCAGACTCCTTTTTCCTCACAGGCCCTGGTGTGCTCCTGCTTCATCCCTCTCTTCTCTGGGCTAATCCCTCCTTCCTTCCGAGGTGAGGTAAGTGTGTGTGCTGAGGGTGGGGGTGCAGCTGAGTGTTGGAGGCCTTCTTTATAGTGAGCTGGGCTCTGGCACCCATGACTATATCTAACTGCAGAGCTGGGATCTTCAGTCTTGAGGACAGAATCCACACTGTGCATTCCCAGAGGATTGATACACAGACTCACACCCCCAGAAGTTGCTTCTGCCTTCTGTATGTCTGTTAGATACACTGGTCTGACTCCCTTAATCTGCTCTCAAGCATCCTAGGGAGCCTTCTGGTGGCCTAATTAAAGTATAAGATGCTTAGGAATTAAATTACTTTTGTAGGGTAGTTGATTTTCATGGGGATGTCAGGTAGCTATGTATTTGTTGTTGTGGTTGTTTTTTGTTTTTTGTTTTTTATTCCTTTAGACAGGGTCTTACTATGTAACTTTAGTTAGAATGCTCTATGTAGATCAGGCTGGCCTTGAACTCACAGAAATCTGCTTGCCTGTGCCTCCTAAGTACTGGGCCTAAAAGGCAGGTGCCACCACACCCAACAGGGGAACAATCTACATTTTCTTTTGTTGTTGTTGTTTTTAAGTTTCTTAATAGGTCTGAGAGTTTGCCTGAGTGTCTATACCACATGTGTATTCTTTGTGGGCAGAGCCCACAACTGGGTCACTGGGGATCCTAGCTATTAAGCACATCTTGGACCTTGATACTGGTCCCCAGTCTTCTTGTGACATAATGTAGGCATGTGATCTTTCCAGAACTAAGTGGAAGGGACCCAAGAGCACTGTGGTGATGTCCCCTGACTCCTTAGAATGCATTCCTGACTTTTCCTGTAGACAGGAAGGTCAGGAGTTTAAGCCCAGCCTTAGCTACTCTGTCATGGATATGAGGACTTCCACAGGTAATCTCAGCAATCAGGAGACTGAGGCAGGAGGATCATGAGTTCAAGGCCAGTCTGTAACCCCCTCTCCTCAAAAGAAAAGTGTTATGGGAAAACAGGCTTACTTAAATACCTTGTCCTGGATCTCCCAAAGGGAGTCTGGTTTTGAACTTGTGGCCATGTGTCTCCTTTGGGTTAGGTTTCATATCACACTCTGTTCCCAGTGCATATAGCACCCTTAGTTTATATGCCCCTTGATGCACATGACAGGGACTCCCCTGGGTGTCCACCTGTCCTTAGGACTTGACAAGCTCAATGTGGGTGTACTCTCATCTCCATGTGTCTCTTTGCCTGACGCATTTGCACAATGGGCATCCTATGCACCTGTACAAAGTAACCTTGAAAGCGAGTAAGAAGCTACTGAAGATTGGTCCCCAGGCCACCATATTGGCTGCAGTGTCTCAGAAGACAATTAAGCACGGTATCATCCCTTTCCTCTTCCTTACAGCGGTACGTGGATGGAGGAGTAAGCGACAATGTCCCTGTGCTGGATGCCAAAACCACCATCACCGTGTCCCCTTTCTATGGTGAGCATGACATCTGCCCCAAAGTCAAGTCCACCAACTTCTTCCAGGTGTGTGTCACCAACACCAGTTTCTGCCTCTGTGCTGAGAATCTTCATCTTCTGACCAGAGCACTCTTCCCGCCTGACATGAAGGTGAGCCTGGTGCTAGGGTGCTGCTTTCTGCCTCCCAGGTAGCTGGGGATACCAGTTAGTCCCTTCGTGAGCAGACAGGGATAGAGTGTGCCATGATGGTGACTCAGAAACATTGCTGTCCTAGAGCTGCGTGATCATCCCCCAGAGTTCAGGATTGGGTCTGAGAAGTTAGGGTGGGGGGTTGTATCAAAGTGTCTTTTTCTCTTGTTGGGATTAAAAAAAAAAAAAAATCCTGACAAAGGGAGATTTTCTGAAAAAAAAAAGAAAAAAAATTTTTTTTTTAATTCAGGCTCACAGTTCAAGGGCTCACAGTTCAAGGTGCAGTCCACAATAGCAGGGAAGGCATGCTTGTAGCGTGAGCTTGTAGCAGATGGTCATAGGTTATCTTCAAGCAGGAAGTAGAGTGTGATGAATGTGGGCTGCGGCCCAGCTCCCTTTCTCCAGGTGTAAAATCCAGAATCCCAGCCGTGGAGTGGTGGCCCTCACAGTGGGCCGGTCTTCCTGCCCCAGTTAACACAGGCATGCTCAGAAGCCCATCTCCTAGGTGACTAGATTCTTTTAGGTTGACAATTGGTGCTGCTCACCAAAGGGTAGGTGGGGTGGTACATAATTGGACTCCAGCAACCAGGAGACTGGGGCAAGGGGGATGCAGAGCTTGAGGTCGGTCTGGGCTACTTTAAAAAAGACAAAACAAAACAACAAACAAACAAACAACAACAAAATAATAGACTGAGGGCTGGAGAGATGGCTCATCAGGTAAGAGCATTGGCTGCTCTTCCCAAGGTCCTGACTTCTGTTACCAACAACCTCATGGCAGCTCACAACCATCTGTAATAGGACCTGATGCACTCTTCTGGTGTGCAGGCGTATAAGCAGACAGAGCACTCACACATTAAATACATGAATGAATAAATCTTTTTAAATTTTTTTTTTTTTTTTTTTAATGAAATAGAGCTGGGCACTGTGGCACACACCTTCAATCTGAGCACTCAGGAGGCAGAGGCAGGTGGATCTCTGCATTTGAGGGCAGCCTGGTCTACAGAGTGAGCTCTGGGACAGCCAGGGCTACACAGAGAAACCCTGTCTCAAAAAAAAAGAGAGAGAAAAAGAAAGAAAAGAAAAGAAAGAAAAACAACCCCCCTCAAAAAAAAAACCTATATAAAAAAAGTTTTTTTTTTTAAATCTTAAAAACAAACAAGGCATGGAGGCACACCTCTTTAATCCTAACTCTCATGAGGCAGAAGCCAGTAGATCTTTGTGAGTTTAAGCTAGGGCTATAGAGAGAGACCTTACCTCAAAAGCAAACAAACAAAAAAACATGGGCCCTTAAGATGGCTCTGTATGTAATGGTGCTTGCTGCCAGCCTGAAGACTGAGCTCATTCCTGGGAACCCATATGGCAAGACAAAGAACTCCTGACTTCTTTGTGAACACATGGACACACACACACACACTAAACATTTTAAAATGAAATAGGAGCACTGCCCCAGGCATTTAGATTTCTTTTCTTTTCTTCTTCTTCTTTTTTTTTTTTTTTTCTGTGCTGAGGATGGAAGCCAGGACCTCACACATGCTAGGTAAGGACATGCACTGAGTAGATTGTAGGAAAGGTCTCACAGCCGAGCCACACCTCCTGGCCCTCATTGATGACTTCTGGGCTAGAGCCAGACTGATGAGCCATGCCTCCAATCCAGAACTTTTTTTCATTTTGGCTCCTCACACGATTCTGATTTGCGCCATTGCGTGGAGCCACCACGTATAGGGCTTTCCTTTTCTGATTGGTATTTGAGTGCAGCGGCCATGATTCCGTGGGTCTGCTGCCGAGAACATGGCTGCATTTACCCAAGTTGCTCACCAGTCATAATGCTCAACGGTGATGGCCCAGGGACAGTTGGGGTAGTACCAAGCTGGCTGGAGTGACAAGGCTTAGTTAGCCCCAGGCCCAGGCCTGAAGCACAGCTCCTGCTGGTAGAGTCTGTGGAGAGGACATTGGAGCTGAGTGAGACTTGGGGAAGCAGAGTCAGGCAGACCCTGTCCTGGGGGTCTCCAAGTCTTAGATGTCCTAGGTCCTCAGAGGGCATGGCAGTCATAGATCCTGTGGTTCACCTGCCTGATTTGCTTACAGGGGGTGGCAGAGCTGTGCTTTCAAGGGTACCTGGATGCCTTGCGGTTCCTGGCGGAGAACGGTAGGTCCTGGCTGGGGGTTACTGCGGTGTCTCTCAGTTCTGTCACCCAGTCTCATGGCCTTCCCTGAGGCGCACTCTACCCACTTCTTAGCCCAATGGGATAAGAAACCTTTGCCCATTTTATAGATGGGATGCAGGCTGGGAAGAAGAGGCCCCACAGAGCAGAGGCAGAACTCTGGGATTTGAACCTGGGCAGCCTTACTGCGCCATGGAGGTCCTCCTCTGCAGGCAGCTTGTTTCTTTCTCTTTGAGCTCTTTTTTGAAACTTTAGCATATGGCCAGTTCCCTGATGAGATCATCAGAATCTGCTCCCCAGCCAAATGTGGTTCCACCCATTGGGCGAGGCTTCTTCCTGGGCGACCACGTTGGGCTGCGTATACACAGTCACACAGTGGGATGGCATTTTGACATCATGACTGTCTTAGTTTACATAGGCGTGACCTATGATCAGACAGTGAGGAAAGCCAGCCCTTCTTAAAACATGTCCATGTCATAAGCTGGGCCTGGTAGCTCGGGCCTGGCATCTCAGCTATTCCGGGAGCTGAGGCAGGAGGATTGCAGTTCAAGGACTACGTTGGCTGCCAAGTGAGTTGCAAGCCAGCCTTGACCAATTAGTGAGACCCTGTCAGTGCTGTAGCCAAGTGCTAGTGTGATAGCCTAGCGCAAAGAAGGTCCCGGGTTCAGTCCTCAGGCCTGGGGGTGGGGGGGGAGAGAAGGGAAAAGGGGGGAAGGAAAAAAAGAGGGTTGGTAGAACACTTGTCCAGTGTGTGTGGGTTTGAAGCACATTTGTGGAGACAAAGAAGAAGGTGCTTTTGTAAGGACAGATGTGTGTTCATTACAGAAGGCATTCCTGTATGCAGAACCAGGTCACCACAGGCCCATGGCGAGCAGCCTCTGCAGCCTTATGAAGGGGCGGGTGGGCACGAGGGAGGGTGGTGGTGAACAAGATGGGCACACAGAAGGGTGGTGGTGAACAGGATCAGCTTGTGGAGGGGTGGTGGTGAGCGGGCTGGGCTTGGGGAAGAGTGGGTGAAGCGATGGGTAGATCTAGGTTGCAAAGCTGGGCTTAAAGGAAAGAAACAAAAAGCATGAGAGAGGGAGAAGGACAGATAGACCAGGATTCGATGTGGCTTTGCCTACCTTGCAGTACTTGGGAACTGTGCTGGAAGGGCTTCCACCTGGACACCAGACCTGGCTCTGCGGAGTAACGGCTGTGTGACTTTGAAGGAGTGTCTGTGCTTGTGATTCCTCAGCTGGCCGATGTCTTAGTTTGGGTTCTACTGCTGCCAAGAGACACCGGTGACCATCACAACTCTTACACAGGAAAACATTTAGCTGGGGCCGGCTGACAGTTTCAGAGGTTTAGCTGGCTCTCATCATGGCAGGACACATGGCAGCGTTCAGGTGGACATGGTTCTGGAGCTGGGAGTTCTACCTCTGGATCGGCAGGCAGCCAGGAGAGACTGTGTGCCATGCTGGGCGTAGCTTGAGCCTGTAGGACCTCAAAGCCTGCCTCCCAGTGACATAGTTCCTGTAACCTTAACTCACAGCAGGCATGAAGTTGCAGTGTTGGCTCTCCTCCCCTGCCATCTGGGGCTGAGTGGGGGCTGGGCAGGTGACGACCGTCCCCACCTTTCCCCTCGTGCAGATCTCCGTGTTCTTTGCAGGCATCTGTAATGGGCCACAGCGCAGCCTGTGCCTGTCCTCAGAGGAGATGGCGCCGGAAGCCACCACACCCTGCTCAGAAAACAGCCGCCTTCTGGGAGACAAGCTGTGCCTGGCAGCTGTGCCCTGGGATGAGAACATCCGGGAGACCCTGTGCCCCAAGCTCAGCACAGGTACTGCTGTAGTGGGGTGGGATGAGACTGGGTGTGCCAGCCTATGTAAGGGACTGGGCCACCTGCTGCAAGAGGAAAAGGTGACGCTTCTCCTGAAAGAAGCCTCTGGGGTGGTGGGACAGGCCATAGGGACAGCTTCATCTACTGCACAAGCTGGCCACTGCCACCCCTCCCTGTACCTTCTGGTCTCCCTTCCCTATCCTTAGAGGTCATGGTCAGGAGAAAAGCTGATGTGCGTTAGCCCAGGATTACCCACACACTCCAGCCCAGCAGCCAGGCCCAGGCCCAAACTGTCAAGCAGCCCTACTGCCTCCAGCTCTGTTAAGGACTGTGGATTTGAGGGAGGACTTGGGGTCCAGCTTCAGACTCCTGGCTCTTTATTTAGAATGCCTTTGGGGTCACTGTTATCCACTTGTCCACCTGTCTCTCCTTGGCTCCCTCGTTCTTCAGCCACAGTTTATACCTCCATGTGATGCATTTTATGTCATATGACAGTGATGTATTCTAACTGTTCGTGTCCCTCAAAATTCCTCTGCTGGCAGCGGAATGTGGTGCTGTCCTTAGGAGGTGAAGCCAGGAGTTCAAGGCGAGCCTTAGCTACATCATGAATTCTGAGTCAGCCTCAGCTATGTGAATCCCTATCTCAAGGGCAAAAATAATTCTCATACTGAAATCCAAGCTCCAAGGGGGAATGGCGTTGGGAAGGAAGCATTGGAACAACTCCTAAGGGCAGGGTCTTCCAAATGAGATTGCTGCTGTAAAGAGGTCCATTTCAGCTAGCTGCTGGTGGTGCACGCCTTTAATCCTAGCACTGGGAAGGCAGAGGTAGGAAGATCCCTGAGTTCGAGGCCAGCCTGGACTACAGAGTGAGTTCCAGGACAGTTAGAGCTACATAGACAAAGCCTGTCTCGAAGAACAAAACAAAACAACAATAACAACAAAAAAGGAGGGTCAAAAGATACCCTCCAGGCCTTCAGCCCACAGAGACACTGTGACCTGGACCCACACCAGACACCAGCAACTGTTGGCACCTTAACACTTGGCCTTCCAGATCCAGATCAGTAAGGACTCAGTGTCTAATTGTTTATAGAAGTTGCTGGGTAGCTGCAGTGTGTGAAGGGGGTCTGATCTGCCAAGTCAGACAGACTAGTCCACAAACCCAGCTTCCAACTGGGCCCAGGAGAGGCTTGGCCATGAACAGAACCCAGCAGTAGATGTCCAATCGGAGGTGTCAGGAGGTCACTGGGGGATAAAAGGTGAAGCTACAGTAAGAATGAACCAGCTGAGGGGTGGAGGTACTACCAAGGGTCCGGTACTGGGGAAGCTGTGTGCTCCCTCAGACTCATCTGGAAACATGAGCAAATTGTAGGCTTAAACATGTACCAGCAGGTGTGTGGGGAGAGGGGGAGGGAGGGAGAGATAGGACTCTTTCCTATGTGTACTTTTCTCTCTGAGACTATCTCACTGTGTAGCCCACACTGGCCTCAAACTTGAAATCCTCCTGCTTCAGCTTCCCAAGTGCTTGGATTAGAAGCCTGAACCACCACCCTCCAGTTTGTCTTTGATCTCTGCATCACCCTTGCTGTGAGAGGAACCGCTTGAAAGCAGTATGTCCCATCGAGCTGCTGGTGGCCCTTTGGCTCCAGGCTTTCTATATCTCAAACTTGATCTGAGCCGAATCAGAGAGAAGGGCTTGAAATTGTGGTACTCTCAGGAGCCATACAGACATACTCCAAATTGCCCCCCCCCTTTTTTTTTCTTCTTCAGCTCTGAGCGAAGCGATTAAGGACAGGGGCGGCTACCTGAGCAAAGTCTGCAACTTCCTGCCCATCAGAATCCTGTCGTACCTCATGCTGCCCTGCACTCTGCCTGTGGAGTCGGCCATCGCAGCCGTCTACAGGTGAGCATTGAGGTTGGGTGCAACAGCTCAGTGAGCTCACGGCAGCTTCAGTTCCGGCCAGCCGCATGTGTCACAAGATGGAGCTTCTGGGAGAGGCCCTCCTTCCTTGAGCCGAGGGTATCCGCAATGTGGTGTGAGCTCTGACCTTAACTAGTACCTGGTGCAGCCGTTCCCAGTCCCCTAGGGAAGCTGAGGCAGGGAGAGATTGAAGCCACAGCTCTGTGGCCACTGAAGTGGCGAATAAGGAGGCCAGGCCTAGAAACATCCTTGCTGTCTCTTGGGCCTGTCTTTGGAATCGCAAGCAGACAGCACTGAGCTGAGAGGTTGCATGATGTGAGTCGGGAGTTAGGAGACAGAAATGAAGTGATTCTGGAACTTGGGGACGGGGCGACCTCTTAAACGGCACAGCAGGGCAGCAGCTCACTCAGTTCAGTCATCAGGCTGTCCTGTTTCAACACCTGGCTGCACCCCTTCCACCGTTGTGTGGCCCTGACTAATGAATGTGCCTCTCTGTGCTTCAGCTTACCTTTGAAGAAATAGATAACAGCAGTGAAACTGCCTGGGGCCCCAGCGAGGTCCTGGACGCGGATTGCACTCCCATGTCCAGTTGGCAGCAGTGATTTGTTTTCAGGTTGCCTCCCCTGGCGGGATACTTCTGAGGGTTTGCTTTTATGGTCGCTGCTTTGGAATTCTGGGTATTTGCTTGGGCTTACCAGTTAAGCAAGTTCAAACAGGTAACAATCTCAGAAAAGTTTTTGAGCATCAGGCCAATGCTCAGAATGGTTCAGACTTTTTTTTTTTTTTTAAAAGATTTATTTATTATCTACACAACATTCTGCCTGCACACCAGATCTTACTGTAGATGGTTATGAGCTACCATGTGGTTGCTGGGAATTGAACCCAGGACCTTTGGAAGAACAGCAAGTGCTGTTAACCTCTGAGCCATCTCTCCAGCCTCTGGTTCAGACTTTTATACTGGGTGTGGTGGTACACACCTGGAGTCCTAGCACACTGGATGGAGGCTGAGGCAGGAGGATCACGAGTTCAAAACCATCCTCGGCCACAGAGTTTAGTCAAGGCCAGCTTAGGGTTATGTATAGAGACCCTGCCTCATAAACAAGATGTGGCTGGGGGGTGTAGCTCAGTGTTTGAGTGGACAGTGAGCATGATTTGCTGTAGATAATTTAAAAGTATGGGCTGATAATGTTTATTATTAGTCCTATAATTATTACAGCAGCATTCTTTAACCCACTATTATAATCAATAAAAGACACAGACACCTGATCGATTTTTAGAATAGCTTCATTTTACCTGGGGAAGGGCAGATAGTAACCCTGTAAACTACCTTTACTTACTTCCCAACCTCTATCCCAGACCACTTGTCCTAATGCTTTCTTTCTGGGCTACTTCCCATCCATAATTCTATACATACTTGCTTATTCTCTCATCTGGGCCACTTCCTCCGTCCACGCCGATCCGGCCATGTGCTTCTCTCCACACTAATCCATGGTGGCTTTCTTCCTTCCTCTCTCCGAACTTGTATCCTTCCCAGGATCCTTCTCTCCCCAAAGCCCTCGACCATTTGCCATGCCCCTCACCTCTGGTCTGCCCAGGTTTAGGCCTTTTAATCAGCCAGTCAGGAATAATTTCTTGGGCAAGGTTACAGATGTCATTTTGGGGTATTTTGAGTGTCTGCTGGTAAAAGACAGCAAGCAGATGTTGGGAGCGACACAGTTAACAATCAGATGCAAAGCATCAGACCATGCTGTTACAGTGGCTCAGTCCCCATGCTACCATGAGGAAAGAGAAGGGAGGGAGGAAGGAAGGGAGAAAGAGAGAAGGGGAGGGTCACCTGGTGGTTCTGGCTGTGCCATTTGCTCTGGCCTCTCCTGGTGTCCTCATCCTGTCTTATCTGGGCTGGCGTCCCATGGACACCACCCAGCCATTTCATTTCCTTGGAGCCTGTATCTTTTTCTTGGCATTCTCCATTGTTTTTCTGAAGCCAAGCCTTCCCAAATCCCTAAGGAAGCATTGTTCTTCCGTTAGCCTCCATGGAGCCTCACCTGCTTTCTGCACCTGACGCTGGACAGCTGCTCACCGGCCTTCGGGAACAGTTTGCCCTCTGGACTCTAAGGAGTCCAGTCGAATGTCCTGTCTCTTCTGTGGTTTGTGGGCATGGCCTGCTGTAATTATGTCTATAATTCCTGTTTTTCCATGGCTGTTTCTCCCCTCAGGAACCTTGTTTTTTTGAATTATTTTTGTTTTTGTCTTTTGTTTTGTTTTTGTTTTTTGAGACAGGGTTTCTCTGTCTGTCTCTGACTGTCCTGGAACTTGGTCTGTAGTCCATGCTGGCTTCAAATTCATAGAAATCCACCTGTCTCTACTTCCCAAATGCTGGTACTAAAGGCGTGCACCACTACCACCTGGCAGGAAACCTTCTCTCTCCTGTCATTGTGTCAGTCCTGAAGATCAAACTCAAGGTGTCCCATGTGTATTTGTTTCTGAGACGGAATTTTAACTCCATAGCCCAAGCTGGCCTGGAACTTACTGTGTAGACCAGACTGACCTTAAACTCAAGTCAAGCCTGCTGCCTGCCTCAGCCTCTCATGTGAGTTCGGGGTTTCACGCATGATTCACACAGCCCCCACACACAAACATCCACACCCACACCACTTATTCTTATTTCATGGTCACAAGCATAGCTCCCAGGCAGTGACTGATGCTGACCCTGCTCAGCACTGCAGGAGGCAGATCTCCCCGGGCGCTGCCTCCTTGTCCATCCTGAAGGCTTGGGTACGCTGCCAAATTGTACTGTTTTACCAGCACCCTGCCATGTCTAGCTCCCTCCCCTTCTGGCTCTTAGCCAAATCAACAACTCACACTTGTAGCCCAGCTGCTTAGGAAGCTGAGAAAAGGAAAAGAAAAGAAAAGAGAAGAGGAGAAAAGAAAAAGAAGAAAAGAAAAGAAAAAATAGTCCGGGAGGTCTAGGCCAGCCTGGCAAGAGAATGAGACCATGTGTGACTAGAAATAAATGTAACCTGAGCCTGCCCCCCTGCTTCTCTCTCTGCTTCCTTGGCAAGCCTGCCACTTGCATGGTCTGCTCACACAACTCTGGATAGGACAGGCAGCCAGCTAGGGTCTGTGCGCACCCCCTGCATTTCCACCTTAGCACGTTGCAACAGCCCAACCTTTAGTTTCTCCATCAAAGTCCCTGGGCAGCTTTACTGATCCAGGATCCCTCTCTGGAGTCATACTCCTGCTCTGGGGAAGCACTTACCAGCAACCTGCCTCTTGCCAGAACCTCCAGGTAGTTTTGGTCCCTGTTGTTTACCAGCTGGCCTCTATGGAGAGCCTAGGCCTCAGCCAGTACTTACCATCAACCCTTGAGAAATTAGGTAGCCTGACTCCAAGCTGAGGCCTTTCTCACTCATTCCCAGGAGCTTTCTGGAACACTAAGTGGCCTGGTTTGCTTTAGAGGTTTTAGGAGGTTTACTGTTGTGATGTACCGCAAATCTGCCTTAGGGAGCTTCTCAGGTTGGGGTGACCTGGCAGCTCGCTTGGATGAAGATCGCTGTTGGGAGATGGCTGCTTTTTATTGACTTTTTTTCTCCCCTGGTTTGTCTTTAGGCTGATACAGTGAACCCATGTGTACATGGGTTATGTGTACATGTGTGTGTGCCTGTGCGTGTGTGTTTCTATGTGGAATACACATTCATGGTGTCCCTGGCTTCCTTCCACAGGTTGGTGATGTGGCTTCCTGACATTCCTGATGATATCCAGTGGCTACAATGGGCCACATCCCATGTTTGTGCCCGGATGACGATGTGTCTGCTTCCCTCTACCAGGTAAATACTTTGGTCCAAGGTATGTGGGCGAGATGGGAATCCCTATTGCTCCCAGAGCTCTTAGGGCCAGAGCGTGGGTTGTGACAGCCACTTGTCCCCAACAGGCCAATTAAAGAAACCATAGCAGAGAAAGGAGATTTCACAAATGAAAAGGTTCAAGGACTGCCCCCTACCCAGCACACACACACACTAGACCCAGTTAATCTTTGTGACACAGACAGGAGGTTTAAGTTTAAACAGAGGTATGCATAAGCAGTCCTGGTCAGGGTGAGGTCCTGCCCACCATTTTCTGGGCTCCAGTCTCTCCTGCAAGCTTGCCTTCTCTCTCCAGCAGGAGACTCCTGGGAAAATCCCAATTCCTTGTTTCAAAGGGCTGTTAGCCAAAGGGAGGGGCACAGCTGTCTCTTCAGAAAGCCTCCCCTGCCAGAACCAACAAGGTTTTGTGCTCAGGCTACGGGTAACATCCTAAGAACGTCTGACTCAGTGTCAAGCAGGTAAAAAGGAGCATGTTCCTGTGGAGGAGGCCCATGGTTCAGTTGGGGGCTTGTTGCTGGGTAAAGCTGTGGATGTCCACCGGGGCAGGGTAGGAGAGGGGTTCAGGTGGTGGCGAAGGCCATAGATTTAGGTGGTGGGTGTCACCTCAGCATTGAAGATGGGAGGAAGCTGTAGCTCCTGCAGTGACCAGTCACGTGATGGTGGGCTCAATGCCCGCCATCACCCTCTCTGCTATCTGTTAGGTTTTGGGTGAGGTGGGGAGTTCAAGAGGACACTGAGATAGATTACTGGGGAATAAGAAGTTTATTAGAAGAATTATTAATGCTGTGGACAGACAGGTGGACAGAGGGGCAACAGCATAGTGAGAGTTTACAGGGAGTTCAGGGCCCCCGCACCAGATATAGAAGCCTGGTGGGGTCTTTGAAGTGAATCTGAGCCCACACGGCAGAAGAGGGAACCTCTTCTTAGACCTTTTGAGGCCAAGGGAGGTCAGCAAGAGTCTGCAGCCGTCTGGCAGGAGGGAGGGATGGGGGTGGGGGGGCAGGATGTGACAGCCCTTTGAAGTAGACTCACTTCTCAAGTGAAATATTGGGCCCCAGCAAGCCAGGATTCACAATGTCCCAGGAGGTGCCTGTGTGAGGAGTGTCTGTGAGAGCAGACGCAAGCAGAGGCTGCATTCTAACATCACATTCTCACGGCACTGAAGACCCAACGTGAGACCCAGTCTTCCTCTTTTCCGTTCAGATCCCGAGCACCCAAGAGCGACCAACAGACACCCAAGTGTGGGCATCACTCACCCCTACAGAAAACCCAGTGCAATTCTGCTGCTTTGTAAATTACTGGTCTCCCTGCTTCCTACGAACTTGGATATTCTCCCTGTGGATGGTCCAGGAAGGGGCCAAAGCTGCGGTCACCCTGCCTTCCACCTCAAGCCCAGTGTGACCTTCAGCTGGAGCAACAGTGTCTAAAGGGAGGGTGGGTGGGTGAGTGGGGCGCTATACTCTCTGTTTCCTGCTGGGAAGGGTTCTGTTTCCTTTGGAGGCAGTTAGGAAGTTCCGGTCCAGGAGCTGAGCCTCTGTCTGTGCAGCTGCCCCTTGGACCTCATGCCTGTGACTCCAGGTCACAGGATCTGGGCTAAATTGGTAGTCGATAGAAACCAGAGACAATGATTTGGTGTTTAGAAAGCTACTTTTGATCTGGGTGGAATCTGGTGCTTGAGGGCTAACCCAGTGAGGAGGGGCCACTGTCTCGGGAGCCTGTGAATCAGTGGGGATGGCAAGAGCAGCAGTGTTTGAAAACTGGAATCCAAACTGGGCACACTCCTGAGAATGGGACAGAGCATGGCTGTCTCTAAAAAGGGTCTGCCAGTTGAGTGGTACTATGAGATAACTTATTACATTCAACGAAAACCTTTGACTCTTACTAAAATAATTTATATAAAAAAATATATGTAAACACACCAGGGGATGCATGGTGAACTACACGTATGATCAGTAAGCTGTGAATAGAATTAACCTTAAGGTAAAAATCTCTTGTATGTGGGAGCAAAGCAACACAGGTAGGAGACACAGTAGACCTCTGCCTCTTCACCCTTGACTTGAACTTGGCTTGCTTTCTCCACTGTCTCCAAATCTTTGTACTGTACCTATCACCACTGCTCTCCTTTTCCTTCCACTCTACCAGCCTTAACGGGGATAAGCACCCACTTTTCTCAGGTGTATGTATACAGCTGTGGGCGTGATGTGTGTTTCCTGTAACTCACACATTAGAGCAGAACATAAGCAAGCAAGCAAACAAACAAGAAACAAGGGCCTGCTCATACTCCTAAGCTTTGGCAGTGAAGGTACAAGTCTCCCATACTGGAGTCTCCTGGAGTCCTAGTGAGCTCCAGGTTCACAGAAGCACTCCGGGAGGAGTAATCACACCCTGATGCGGGCGAGCTCAGCAGGGTTGATCCTGATTGGATAGGGGATGACTCTGGGGGAGAGAATGTGGGTCGAGAGGCCCAGCATCTAGGCTCCTCAGAAGAAAGACTGTCTCCAGGGAAGAAAACAAATCAGGAATGGGTGTAGCTCAGTTGTTAGACTGCTTCTCTAGCGTGCATGAAGTCCCTGTGTTCAAGCTCTGCACCATAGAAACTGTGGGGTGACAGGCAGTGACATATGCCTGTAATCCCAACACTCAAGCAGTAGAGGCAAGAGGATCAGAAATTCAGGGCCATCCTTGACTACTACGGGAGGTGTCAAATGAGACACCTCAAAAGACAAAAAGACAAAAAACAAAAAGACAAAAAAACAAACAGACAAAAAAAAAAAAAAAAAAAGAGCAGAGGCTTCTTTAAGCTGCCCTGCTTTAAGCTGTCCCTTTCTGGAACTTTCTCATCAGCTGAGAAGAATATCCCTGCCCCCTATCAGGTAAAATTCCTGCTGGTTTAGAGCCTTCCACTCTCCGGAACACCTGGTGTGGGACAGTTACCAGCAGGGAGCACTTTTTTTTTTTTTTTTTTTTTTTTTTTTGTAACAAAGGGCTGGGTGGGTGTGACTACAGGTGAAGCTAATGTGGAGAGCCTTGGTTGTCCTGGGCTCACTTTGTGGACCAGGCTGGCTTTGAACTCACACAGATCTGCCCGTCTCTGCCTCCGCAAGTGCTGGGATTACAGGCGTGTGCCACTGTCCCTGGCACAAGGAGCAGCATCTTGACTGGAATGCAGCAAAGCTGGTTCACCTGTTTAAAAAAACAAATGTGATTGCCTATGCAAATCACTGTTCAAATCACAGAAGGATTGAATGGATACACCAAAAATACCCACAACTATTAAGGGAAGAGGGCTCATAATAAATGTAAATAAATAAATAAATTTTTTAAAAAAATTTTTAATGCACTCTGTTGCTTCCCTGTGGGACAGCTTCCTCTACAGGTTTGTGTGCTCCTCTCTAGGCTTACAGCTCAGATGTCCTCCACTCTGCAAAATGGATGACTGGATTGTAAAAAGCCCAGGAGGCTCTGGAACTATGTAGCCCAGGCTCACCTGGAACCCTTCATTCTCCGGCCTCAGTCTTCCCAGTGCCATGTTCCCACACATTCCCACACCAGCCTGGAATGTGCAATTTTAGTAGACACTGGGAAGGGACAATGGTGCAGTCTCCAGAACACCCTGAGGGAAAATGAGGAGCAAACAATAGTGACAAAGCGCTGGGTGGGTGTGACTACAGGCGAAGCTCGTGTGGAGAGCCTTGGAGACTATAGCTGGGTGGCACCGCTAGGAAAGGCATCCAACACAGGGATCTTGTGATCATGGGCAGGGTGCTTAAGTCTTCATTTTTCCCCCAATGTAATGCCAATAAGAGGTTAGGAGAGTGATAGTTTCCCAGTGAAGGACTACAATTCCCAGCTTCCCTTGGGACTAGGAAGTTATTTCTACCTCAATAAGGGGCTGTATTCCATCTTCCCCTGTAGCCATTTTGGCCACCTGCACATGTGGGTGACAAAATTCTCCCTCATCGTGAATAAACATGATCTCACCTAAGGTCAGCTCAAGGCTCACTCTTCTCTCTCTCTCTAGGTGCCTTTTAATAATCTAACAAGGGGAGGACATGTTAGGGCCAGTTATGTTTTAAGTGTAAATCAAAACTTAAAATTTAATTTAAACAAAAATGCTTCTAACCTGTAAGCCCCATTTGACCACATATAGGTGAGGTAGGCAGGAAGTATGTCAGAATGTATGCTTGCCCCTGATGGGGTGAAGGTGGGAAGTGCATAGACTCGTGGGGTTTGCCTTTATAAGCAGTTTGGTGCCATGGTCTGGGAATCCTGGGTAAGGACCTAGCTAGTGTTCATTGTCCTGGCCAGTACTTAATAAAGCTTTATTTAAGTTTGGCTCAAAATTTGTGATAGTGATCTTATTCTTGCCCGGGTGGGATTAACAGACATTGTATGTGAGTGACAGAATGACTCTGGATCCTTAGGTTTTTTTGTTTGTTTGTTCTTGTTATTTGTGCAGCCCTGGCTGTCCTGGAGCTTTATGTAGAACACCCAGCCCTGTCTCAGTTTTGAAGTCTGTCTTTGGGAAGGAAAGCAGCTGAATACTGTCTTTGCGTACCTTAGTTTGAGTTAGGACAGGAACTCAGCAAATACTCCTATGAGTCCTTTCATGGCCAGGCTCAGATTCATGAGAGTCTGGGAACATGACCCCATCTTTGCAATGCTGACTCTGTACTGTGGGTTGGCAAAGGGAGGGAGGGAATGGCAGAGACAGGGCTGGCTGCTAAGATGCTTAAAGGTTCTGCCTTTTTCCATGCAGGATGAATGTGGACTTTGAAGGCTTGGATGCCAGAAGAATGCTACTTAAATAGGAAAAAGTGCAGGGTGTCCTTGAGGGAGAGGGATGGAAAAAAAGTCAAGAGCAGTGGTGTCAGGCTGTCAGGTCAGACAGGAACTCCACCCTCTCTCCAGTGAACTGCAGCTCACAGCTATGGGTGGTTTTTATTACATTGTTCTTTTGAGGCTCAGTAGCTGTTTCTGCCACAAAAACCAAGCGCACAGCTGTCTGATTTACCTAGGTGACTACCCTCACCTGTTGGGCCACGACTTTAATCCCAGCACTCAGGCGACAGAGGCTGGTTATCTCTAAGAGTTCCAGGCTGGGTCTACAGAGTAAGTTCCAGGACACCCAGGACTATTCAGAGAAACCACTGTCAAAACAAACAAACGGGGAAAAGGATAATGTAATTATACTTTAATTGAAAGATAAAGTAACACACACTGAGGATTCATCGAAGGCGATCTTTACTGATTTTTAATTTTATTTTTAACTTTGTGTGTGTATGTGTGGAGATATTCCTGGGAGTCTGTTCGCTCCTTCCAGTACGTGGGTCTGGAGGAACTGAACGCAAGCTGTCAGGCTTGGCAGAAGGTACGTTTACGTACTAAACCGTCTCGAAAGACGACCCGACACACACCCAAACCCACACCCTTTTTACTGGATCCAGGCAAAGGTGTTCCGGTCAAGCCAGACTTCATGCCGGGTCCCAGGAGCACACACTCGTCTCTCAGCTCTGCGCCATTCTCGTCAAACCTCAAAAGTGAAACTGAGATTCCAATGACTGGACCAGGGTAAGCCAGCATGGAACGACGACCGTGGCTCCGCTCCCTTCCACGGAGCAGCTTTGCCTACACCAGCTGCTTACCAAAGGTCACTACACGCTCAACCCTTGCCCTGGCTTCCCGGCGTTCCTATGAACATCCGGGTCACGGTCGCATACAGACCAATGAGCGGAGGTCCCTGGCCCAGGGGGCGGGATCTAGGCGGTACAACATGGCGGCGCTCGGCTTGCAGCTTCCGTGACCCGTAGCCGCGCGTCTGTGTCTGTAGCTGAGCTGGGGTGGGCGCGGGTACCTCCGCGGGGCAGCAGCCGGAGAGGGAGCCATGGGGACAGTGCACGCCCGGGTGAGAGGCCCCGCGGCGGCCGGGCGGGACACGCGTACCTGCGCCTGGGGCAAGGGCAGCGGGGAGGGTGCGGGAGATGCTTGGGCCTGCGACTGTAGCGGTCCTGAGGACGGTGGTGACTTGCCCAAGGTCACTCAGTGGAATTATTCCGGGTGACCTCACAGCGCTGGCCTCGGTAGGAACGCGGCGGGGAAGAAGGGTCTGTCGAAAGACAAGATACGAACAAGATATATAACAGTCTTGTTTCAAATTTTTCAATTACGAGGTGCATGAGCGTTCAAATATGTGTATGTGCACTTTTTGTGCATAGCCTGTGGAGGCCAGAAAGGGGCGTTGGAGCCCTTGAAATTGCAAGCCTCCTTTTAAGTGTCAGGAACCACTCTGATTCTCTGCAAGAGCATCAGGTACCTTACCTGTAGAGCTCATCTCTCCAACCCAGTGCTCTTGCTTAAAAAATAAGTGTTTGTGTGTGTTTATGTCCATGTCCATATGGAGGTAAGAAAACAACTTGCTGGAGTCAGTTTTCTTCTTCCACCTTGTGGAGTCTGAAGAATCGAACTCGGGACATCAGGCCCCAGGGGCAAGCTGTACCTGTTGAACCATCGTGGCTTTCACTTGCCACTAGGACTTGGGCAACATTCTGTTCTATACCACAGAATGACCTCCCCTACCCATGAGTGGGCAGAACAAACGATAGAAGAGACTTATCCTGCCTCAGTATTTCCTCCTTCCCTGTCTCTTTGTGCCTTTGGCTTTGTAGCCCAAGCTGGCTTCACTTTAGCACGTCTATCTCAGGTTCTTAGAGCTGGGGGTTACAGGCATGTGTCAGTATACTTGGCTCAGTTACTGTCTTTAAATCCTTTGATTGTGGCTTTTTGAGGTTTTGCCTGTTCTCTTTCTCGTGTCTCCTGAGGTCTGATGAACAAGTTAGTTTCGGCTTAGGGACACAGAACTTCTTCCTGACCAACTTCTGTGCTTGGTTAGTTTTTGGGTGGTCTTTTGGGCTCAGTGCAGTATCTTGGTTCCACCGAGCAACCTATGTCATTGTTGGCTCCTTAGCCCCAAACTCTTTAATTTTTTAACTGTTCCCAAGGGCCGGAGAATGAGTGAAGTGTCCAGAGTCACAGAGCCTCAGAATGTCCTAAAATGAAGACTTAAGGAGCCCTGGGCCCAGCGCACCGAGTGTGGACAGCGTCATTTCCCCTGTAACTCATTTTCTGGTAGTATCCCTTTACTTCCAACAGCACTTAGCCCAAGCATCTCACCCAGGCCTCCAGACTTGGACATACCACTTTGACAGAGCTGTTTCACACACCATTGCATTTGTGACCCCATTGTTGAACTGTGCTGGTGCCCTGGGCCCATCCTATCCTATTACTCATGTCCACCCCAGCTTTACCTAGCCAAACAGTCACATCCCGTAGAACTCGGTTCAGATTTCCAGTACCCTCCTGAATACTGCAGGAACCTATGAGGCAAGTGCCTCCTCGGCTCCACACGTACCCTCCAGGCAAGCACTCACCAAGCTGTACCCCTAGATCTCTTAAATTGTGATTTCACTAGGTTGTCAGGGCCAGCCTTGAGCTCACTCTGTGAGGCTGGCCTTGAATTTGTCATTCTTTATACTTTTCAGTAGCTGGGATTAGTGTTCTAATTGCTAGGCATAGTGGTGCACAGCCTTATTCTCAGTGCTCAGTAGGCAGAGGCAGTTGGATCTGTTGTGAGTTCAAGCCCAGCCCTGTCTACTTAGTGAGTTTTAGGCCAACCAGGGCTACATAGTGAGACCCTGTCTAAAAACAACAACAAGTGAATTTCCATTAGTAAACAGGTCCTGGAGGCCACCAAGCTTTGGCAGACGTGTCAACCACAGTGGCACCGTGTTTTGACATCTGTCCTCCAGATTGTGGGGCTGGTGGTCTCTAATGGACTTTGTTTCGTACATTTTAGAAACTGTATTGGAATTTTTAGAGTAATGGAGTGAAAACTTTGCCCAAGCAAGGTATATTTGCCAACTATTGGATTAAAAATGGATCCACCTGCACACTCTTACTAACATTTCCATACTTGTGAGAAGTTAATAACGATTTGGTTAAAAACACTAACACCAAAAGCCAGTGATAGTGACAGGAAATGATGTATTCTTTGTCATCCTTGGTAAATACCCTGGGTTAGTGGGGAACTCACAGCCCTGCATCTTCCTGAGTGCTGGGGTTATAGGCCTGCACCTGCTCTTCTTTTCCCTCCCCACAGAAGCTTGGTGAGAACAAGAGAAAATTGTATTTAATTAGCATCCTATGAATAGGAATTGAGTACAAAAAGAGGAAACCTGTCTAAGGTCATAAATTTCTAACATTTTTTTGTTTGGTTGGTTTTGTTTTTTCAAGA